AGCGGGAGGGGATGAATTTGAGCCTGTGAAGGTGCAAACGCCGGCTCCGAGAGTGAGGATGAAGCGATAAATTCCCTCTCAATCCCCCCAGCATGGACTTTCAGGATATTTTGGGGGCGATTTGATCTCGTTTGACGGAAGGAACCAAATTCGGAGAGAAACGCCGCGTATAGCGAGACATGTTTGACTAACGAAGCTGAAAATAAAGCCCAGTTCGGCCTCCGGGAGGCACCTCAGGGAGTTCTGCTTTCAATCCGCGCTACAAAAAAGCCTGAAAAGGTGAAAAAATGATGACTTACCCGGTCTGAAGTCACCCATGGGTGTCATTTTCCCAGCGACTGAGTAAATTCCTGCCGAAAAGGAAAGGAAAAGAGCGTTGAGGATAAGGGGAGGATCCTCAAAACCACCACTAGCGCTTCTTTTAACCCCGTTGCTGCCAGCAAGGAAGTTGCTGATGCTGCTTTTTTTTTTTAAGGCCTGGCGTGGCATTCACACGTAAAATTGGGGTCAAACCTGGAGATTTAGGGGCTCTTGAGCACAGAGCAGGACCCGCACGACCCTAAGCCACCCCAAAGGCGTTTCGCCCTGCTCTGTACGACGGCGGTGCCCCGCCGGCGGATTCGGACACCGCCGCGCTTTGCCGAGCCACCCGCCGGCCCCGAAAACACACGCCAAGGACACGGAGAGGGGGGTGTCTCCCCAATTTTACCTGCTTGTCTCACCAGCCGCTTGGTGGGCGCCGGCGGGGGGCCCAACCAGTTGCCGGACGGCTCCCGCCGGGGCATGGTTTTTTCTCCTGCCGGGCCATGCTTTGCCGGGGAGAGTAGCCGCGCAGGCGCCCGGCAGGGAGTTAAACCCCTCGGCACGCGCCCCGGCACACCCCTCGCCGCCTCCGGCACCCCATTTTGGCCGGCGGTTTGGGCCTGAGGTTTCAGTTCCTTCTCCGCGCTGGGGCGTCGATGACATGCAAATGGGCGGCGAAACAAGTGCGAGACTGCGCTCTTCCCTCCACAAAAAATACGCCTTTTCGGTGGACCGTGGGATTCGGTCAATGTGGGGACGACAGGTTTGGTTTTGGGGGAGAAACGGTGACGCCGCGGGAGCTCTGCCGCCAGCGGGAATTTGAAGGCAGTTCCCACACGGGTTTGAGGTTTTTTTAGGGATTATAGATAAAACCGCCACGGTGACACCTACGGGGGTTAAACACCGCGTCGGTGAAATCCCAAATCTTCCAGCGGAGCCGCTGCCCACGCCAGGAGGGGAATCCGGCAGCGCGGCCTTTCGGCAAAACAGGCGTCACGCTTCAGCACCCACGAGTTGGGGATTTGCATACACGCCCAGAAAACACGCTCACACCTCGTCTTTGCCGGTCTCTCTTCCCTTTTTGGGGTTTTTTTTTCACCTAAACCCTGGGAAAAAAGGGTACGCACCGACACTCTTCAGCGCCACATCGGCTCAATTTATGTGAGTTTTGGTTCAAATCACAATCGAAGCACTTTATTTATTTATTTATTCCCCCCCGCCCCCGATTAACCAGCAAAGCGATACGTCCAGCCTCGGCGCGACAGGTAAACGGCTCGCAAAATGTTAACGAACACCCCAAAAATCTCCAACCGCCCCCAAAAGAGTGACCCTCTCAAACTGTTTTAACCCCTCCGCCACAGCTTTTGGGAAGTGGGGTACCCATTTTTGGACACCTCTTTTCCCCGGAGCCTTGTGTTTTCAACCCTGCACTTGGTTTTGCCGGGTTTTTACTGTTTTTTTTCTGCCCCCCCCCCAATTTTTAAGCCCTGGGGAGGTGAGCAGGCGGCTCGGGGAAAACCTTCAGCAGCTGCGCTCGCAGATCCAGGCCTCGGCGCTGGAACAGAGGACGTCGTTCCAGAGGCCGCTGGAGTAGATGGTGGCGCAGTCCTCGCCCTGCTGGCCCGCGTTGTTGGGTTCACCGCTGTTCCAGAACCTGGCGGGCGGGGGGCGGGGGCGGGAAGGCACACCGGTTTGGGTTAGAAAGCTCTCCGTTTGGGAACTTGTTGGGTTTTAGGGGT